TCCGTCGACGTCGTCGTCGCCGTCGTCGTCGCCCCTGCTGATGCCGCTGCTTCGCGGCGGGGAAGAGATGGGCGGGTCGGGGGCGTCGACGCCGCTCGAGGCGCGGCGCGCGACGTTTGAGGCGTACGCGCGTCGGCGGCGGAGCCGGTTCCACGAGATGCTGATGGAGGCGGCGCAGTCCGACGACCAGCGGCTGCTCGACGACGACGACGAGGGAGAGGGGCGCGGTGCGCAGCGCAACGATGCCAACCTCGACGAGATGCTCAACCTGCTTTTTGAGCGGCGCGGCGACCAAGGCGAAGGAGAAGACGAGGTGGCGAGCCAGCCGTACTCGAGCGATGCAGAGACGACGCTCGCTTACGGTGCCGGGCGCTTGGAGCGCGCGCTTCGAGGCCGGGCCAGCCGGTAACTCGGTTGTCGCCCGGCCTGGTCTGCCTTGCCGCCTGCGGTGGTGCTGACAGGCAGGCCTGGAAAAAAAGAAGCTCCGCTGCAGGGCCAGCCGGGTCCCCTCCGTAGCTTGACCACGCCGCGCCAAGGCAGATAGGCTTGGTCCGTGTGCACAGTCACAACGCTGGACTCCCATCACGTCGGGGCGGGCCGGGCCGGATCGATCGATCGACAGACCGGCCGATTCCGCTGGTCTGGCGCTACGCTCTCTGCCACCATGACGCGCGCTTGCGGCGACGGTCCTTTTGGTATGCGGTACTGTATGTACCTCACCTCGCTGTCCCTCGACTTTGCGGCGTTTTGATGTAACTAATGCCAAGCCCACGGCTGCTTGCTGCTGCACAAACCGTACCGCTTGAACGATCCGGTCAGTGCCATACCATGCAGAGGCCGACCGGATGGTTTGGCCGCGGCAGCAGCGACAGATAGTACTATAGAGCACCCGCCGCCCGGCCGGCTGTCCGGGCGTGGACCCACATGTGGGTGCCCACGGCTGGGATCCGCGGAGGACAGGTGGCGGGCGCCTGGTTCGAGGGAGGCTAGGGGGCCACACCATCCGGGGCGAGGCAGAGGGCTGGCTGCGGTGGCGGTGGCGGAGAAATTGGGGTCGGAGTAGCGCCGTGGCCTGGCCAGGCCCAGGCCTTGGACGGTGCGGCGCGCCGAGGTTCGACATGCACGCACGGAGAGGTGCGGTGTTTCCTGGACCCGGGTGCAACCGACCCGGATGGGCGGAGGGCACTCGACCTTTCCTCGTCGTCGTCGGCCCACCTCCTACCGTACCGGTACCTGCTCCTTGAGCGAGCCTAGAGTGGGGAGCGAGGACGAGGTCGAGGACGAGGTCGAAGGTCCGCCTGGGGTTGTTTTCTTGTGGAAGCGACGGGCTGAACGGCGGGCTGAACCGAGTCCAGGCTTGACGAGTTTTAATTCCAGCAGGCCAGGCCAGGCGGGCGATGGGCGTGGCCAGGCGGAAATTCTGTCCAGACCTATCGGATGCGTGCACGAGGCAGGCCTGCCTCCAGGCGGGGCCTTTGCGTGCCTCTGCCTTGATCCAGGGTCCACGTCCTCTGCTGCCCGGCAGGTGGGCAGTCAGATGCAGGCGAGAGACCCCGCGGCCGGGCTTGCCCTAGCCTGCCCTGGCTGCTTTGCCACTCAAGTCTTTCCCTCGTCTTGCTCGTCGACCGGGGGCGGACAGAAACCCCGCTGAACCGATGCCCTTGCTTCTTGCTTGGCCTTGGCGAGGCATCGTCGAGATTTGTCCTTGGCCCCCCACCATCACCGCCATCACCACTACCACCACCCCCACCACTACCGCCACCACCTTCGCCACCACCTTCAGCACACCCACCGCCCTCTGCCCCCACCGTTGCATTGCCACTCGTTGCCACCTCGATCGACTCGACGGGACCTGCCAGACCGCGCCACCCGCTCACTCGACCCCTAGACCGACCCACACCCCGCTAGACGCCTCTCCGCCCTGTCGACCTCCCTTGGCTGCTCTCTTCCGTCCGATCTCTCGACCATCCAACCCTAGTTCTACTCCGACCACACTCTGCTTGGACTCGCATAATCGCCCTCACCGCCACCTCAAAGCCGCACAGCGGCCTCGCTTCAGTCCCTTGACACCTCAGCTCTGCCCTTTTACACGCCTTCCACCGCCTCAGAATCGCCGCACCTGTGCACACCCGCACCTCGACACTGGGTCATCGCCATCGGCATCGCCATCACCGTAGACTTTGCCAGCCTGCTAGATATACGCGACCCGCCACACGACGCCAATCGAACCTTCAAGCCGCCTCTACAAGGCCTCTGCTCGCAGCTCGCTGCCCGACGGTGCCCGCGAGCAGGGTCCATCTGACGCATTGCTGAACCATCAGCGTCGCAGCTGGCCCTCACCTTCCTCCAAGCGTCGCAGCAGCAGATCTTTCGAGCGACCTGTGAGACGCCACGCTCCTCCAGCATGCCCGCCGTTGCAGCCGTGCCACCGGCCACGCCCCAGGGGCTCGCCGCCCCTCTGCCGTACGAACCGCCCCTAAAGCCCGACGCCTGGCACGCCTGGCTCGAAGCCTATCAGTCTGGGCAGTGGACCCGCATTCCGCAACCCGCACCGCCACTAGCCCAGCTGTCGGCCTCACTGCCGTCCACCCCCAGCCCTTGGACCGACGCCTGCGCCGACCCGCTGCGGCCCCAGGTCATCGACACCAAGACGGGCGCCGTCACATCGCCGTTCGACTTCTTCCGCTGCTACAACCACCTTGCCCCGCCAAAGGCCCCCCTCGAGCGCCTGCAGGCAAGGGAGAATGCCGTCATCCGCCACAAGCTCGAGCAGCCCGCCCTCAACCCTATCCTCGACATCTACGTCCAGCACGCCCGCGACGTCCTCGACGCCGACTACGGCGCCGTCTCGATGGCCTCGCTCGACCGGCTCCACATCAACCTCTTTTCGTCGTTTGGCTGCGGCCTCGAGGACCTCTCATGCCTCACCACGTCGACCTCGATCTGTGCCCATGCCCTCCTGCTTGAGGGCGAGTGCATGGTCATCCGGGACCGCTCCAAGGACTGGCGCTTCCGGTCGCTCCCCTTCGGTCCCCACCCGGACTCGGGCGTCGATGCACCACAGGGCTTCCAGTTCTACGCATCGGCTCCGCTGATGGCGTCGGCGCCCGCAGTGCCGACGTGCTCAAATCGGTCCAGCACCGGCGAAGGCCAGAGCGCGGCAGGCGCGACCGACTCGGACGTCAAGGTCCCCATCGGCCGGCTGTGCGTCATCGGAGTCGAGCCTCGGCCCGACTTCTCGGAAAAGGACCTGGCCCGGCTCAAGACCATCGCCGAGATGGCCAGCAAGGCCGTCGAGAGCGTCTGGCAGGCGAATCGGTCGGCGAGGGTTTTGAAGATGCAGGAGAGCACCGCCAACCTGGCCGCGCTGCTCGAGCAGCAGAGCTACGCTCTGATGTGCGACGGCGATGCTCAGCAGGACGCCAACGACGGCTTCCTCGCCGCAGTGGCGACCACGTTGCGCGAGACGCTGGACGCCTCTGCTGCCTTCTGCCTCGACGTGTCTTCGTTTGGCGCGGCATCGGTGGCGAGGGGCACAGCGGCGAGGCGCAGGGACAGCGCCATCGACGTGTTGAGCATCTTTGCTGCCGGTCCGGAGCGCCGTCCGTCTCTGCCCGTGACGATGACGGACCGGCAGCAGCACAGCCGTCGCCAACAAACCCACCACCACCAGCAGCGCGAGCAGCCCGTCTTCGCCCCGACGGTCCTCGCTGCAGACGGCGATCTCACAGGGTATACGATCGCCGCACTGGACCATGCCGCCGGCCGCAAGGCTGTGTTCGACTGGCTGCTCCAGCGTCAGCATTCTGGCTGGGCCCAAGCAGACATATTCCAGGCGGACCAGGAGGCAGAAGATAGTGAGGCATCGACAGCCTTTGCCCCGTTGCGCAGGCTTGTGCCAGAAGGCACCCAGACATGCGGTGAGTGACTTTGCGGACCACCGGACCTTTGCCGCAGACGGGCGACAGGCCGGCATGCTTACTCCGCCGTCTCTACCACGTGCCCGCTCCTTGCACTTTGCCGCAGTCACTCACGTCGTCATGAACGCCGAGCGGACCGAGCCGCTCTTCGTGTTCCTCGTGCCTTTCCAGAAGCGCACCGTGGTCGAGGACTTTGACGTCGACTTTGTCCTTTCGCTTGGGCTGATCCTGCAGAGCATGGTGTTGCGGCAGCGGGCGATGCAGTCCGAGAGGGCCAAGGTGTCGTTCATCCGGCAGATGAGTCACGAGCTGCGCACGCCGCTGCACGGCGTCACGGGTGTTGCTTCGCAGCTGGCCTCTCGGCTGCTCGAAGGACCCGCTGCGACGCCGGATGGTGATCGCACCGAGACCGTCTGGCTCGCCAAGGCCATCCTCTCGGCTGGGCAGGATCTACACAAGGCAATCAACGACCTGATCGACGTCAACGACCTCACCGTATCAGCCCCGGACACGGCCGGCGCCGGCGGTGGCGACGACCAGTTATCGGAGGCGTCCGACACCACGCTCGACCTGGTTGATCTCGTGGAAGCGACGGCTCTTGCCGAGCAACAGTGGTTCGCAGCGCGCGCCACCGAGGGGTCCCACAAGCCTCCGATGTTGCTCGTCCACGAAGCTCCGTCTCCCTCTGCTGCCGCGATGGAAAGGCCAACGATCCGGCAGAAGGACGGCCAGATTGTGCGCAAGGTGGTGCAGCAGATCGTCAACAACGCGTTCCGCTTCTCGAAAGCGACCGGGGCCGTCGTCGATGTCCGCGTCCAGCCGTCGTCGAGCCGAGCAAGCAGCCCGACGGCGTCCACCGACGGCGCCACAGCAGCCGCCCCCGTCACCACCATCGCGAACAGCTTCGACGTCGTGGTGCGGGACAACGGCATCGGTATGAGCGCCGAGTTCGTGCGAGACTGCTACCGACGACCGTTTACCAAGGCCAGCTCCTTCAAGCAGGGCACCGGGCTTGGTGCGGCTCTAGCCGAGCTTCTGCTGCAAGAGATTGGCGGCAGCATGGAGGTGGATTCGGCAGAGGGCCAGGGGACGCGGGTCACCATTTCGCTGGCTGTTGAGATGGGCTCTGTCGACACTACCTACTCGACTGCCGGGAGGGCTCTGGCCGACAGCTCCCAAGCATCGGCCTCGATCGTCGCTGCGGCCTACTTTGAGCCCCGCTTCTGCTCGACTGAGCAAGATGGGGCTGCCTGCTCGTTGCGCGCCTACTGCGACGATGTGCTCGCCGACTGCGGCTTGCAAGCAGCGACGATTCCGGAGCAGGCGTCGATGCTGCTCCTCCCGGTCGACGATGCAGCACACATCGAGGAGCTGAGGACGGACATCCGCTTCGAGCGATATCGGAAGGTGGTCGTCGTCGACCTCTGCGACGAGCGAGAGACGGGCCCGCTCAGCGCCAGCCTGTTAGCTGCGATCGACACAGCAGGCGTCGAATGCCTCTGCCTGCGGCCGCCGCTGCACACCGGTACAGCGCATGCGCTTTCGACCTTCCTCTGCTCCGCGGCGACGTCTTCGTCACTGCCGCCCGCATCCGGCCCCGCAGCAAACGTCGACTCGACGAACCTGGTCTTGGAACGGGAGCTCGAGTCGCTGACCCTCGAGACCGATCTGGCGCAGACCGCCACGTCTCTGCCATCGCCCGACTCGTTTACGACACCCAAAGTGGCGCCACTCGAGATGCCCTCTCCGACCACGATCGACGCAGCCACGATGCCGGATCGCACTGATGCAGCCACGGCAGGCGGCGGCAGCGGCAACTGTGGCACGGCGAGCGAGCGGCCCTTTTCGGTGCTTCTGGTCGAGGACAACCCGCTTAACATGCGCCTGCTCCGGACCGTCGTCCAGAAGGTCGGCTGTCCCTTCCAAGAGGCCGAGGATGGCGAGCAGGCGGTAAACAAGTTCCGCGAGATGGATCCGGCCGTCGTACTGCTCGACATTTCGCTTCCAGTCATGGTGAGTGGTGGCGGCGGAGTCCGATGGCCGAACCGCTGAGGCCAACGGCAGGGTGTTTGCAGGACACTGGTTGGCTGACGACGAGACTTCGCTGACCCCCTTCTGTCGATGCGCGCTTCCGATCAAACAGGACGGCTTCGACGCGTGCAAGCTGATGCGGGCGCATTGCAGCCTCGAGGGGAGCGATGGGCGGCGGCAGCAGCCGCGGATCGTGGCCATCTCGGCGCTGTCCTCGGCGTCGGACATTGCGCGGGGCATCGACGAGTGCGGCATGGACGAGTGGCGCACCAAGCCAGCTAACCTGGCGCAACTGCGCAAGGACCTCGTGCGGTGGCAGCAAGAGTATCGGATAGCGGCGGCGGCAGGGGCTGAGAGCAGCAGCGCTGCGCAGGGACTGACTGGTGGCGCAGACGAGGCAGTCGCGGTGGCTGCGTAGCTCGGCCGGTCTCTTTTGGTTGGTTTCCCCGAGGAACAGATGGTCATGGGCTTTGAAAGGCATGAATGCATTCGACGATGCGTCTTTCTTCCTTCTCTAGCGTCCCTCCTGATTGTGTGCGGGTGGCCAGGCCAAGCTCGAGATGGCTCGTGGGCGAGCGAGCGAGAGGGCGTCCGTTGCGTGCGGGTCGGTGCTCAGCCAAGAGGCCGGGCGAGTGAGGCGGGAGGCAGGAAGGCCAGGGTCCACCGAGCTCGCAGCCGCTCGGACCACGCTGCCCCTTCCTCCTCCACCACCATCTTCTTCTTGCCACCACACCATCACCATCACGGGCAGCACCCTCCCCGCTTCCCTCTCCACCCTTTCGCTCTCTTGACGCAACACCGCATCGTACCCGCCCACTCCACACACACACACACACAAAGGAAAGGGGGAGGCGAAAGCAGGCGACAGAACGATGCCCACACTGCTCCTCTCACCGTCCACCACGGCTCGACTCGATGGGATACGGAAAGACGAGCGCATCCCCGTCTCGATTCGGGAGGCAATCTCCTCCTTACCCCGCTCATTCTCCGCCGCCGCGTCTTCCGACGCCGTCAAGATGGACGGATCCAGTCCTGCTGTACCGTGCGCGGAGGAAACAAAGGTGACAGAGACTGGGCGACTTGCGATCCCGCATCGCGTCCTTGTCGATCTGGCCTGTTGGGCCCGGACAAACATGAGCGATGAAGGGAGAGGGCAAGCGCATGGATGGACGCTTTGGGACCTCGTGGCCGGCTCTGAGGTCTATGTCGAACCCAAAAAAGTGGCTGAGAGGGTGAGTCGAGTCGAGTCGAGCCGTTCTTGCCTTGCGCATCGCCGCCATACCGCCCTACCGACGTGGAAGTGAGGAGCTGACCAAGAACGTCGCAACGCTCGTCGCCGGGATGCGCGATCGAACCACTGTCACAGTCAAAGGAGCTGGAAGCCTCTCTTCTCGCCATCCGGAAAGCGCAAGACGAAGCAATGTACCACCAACTCACGACCTCGCTGCCCTTCACGCGGTCCGGCATCCCAGCGTCCTTCCGCTCCATCGCCGGGGTCGATCCGTCCGCCCCGCTCGCCGCGCGCATCTCAGCCGGCCTCGCACCGCCCTCGACCGCGACACAAGAGCACCAAGATGCGGAAGCATGGCGCGAAGTACGCTCCATCCTCTCGGTCCTCCTCAACGTACTCCTCAGCATCGCCGCCGTCGTCGCCGCCGTGTGGTACGGCCTCGGTACATCCACACCCGTACCGTTTCGCGTCCTCGTCTCCCTGCTCGCCGCCATCGTCACCGCTCTCGCTGAAACGGCGCTCTATGCCCGATACGGTGACTATGTCAGCAAGAGTCGCAGCGTCAAAGAACGAAGGTTGAAGGGCTCCGACGCCGTCGTACCCGCGCCGCCGCCGCCAGGGACGGAGCGAGGCCCGCAAGCAACGTCGGACCAGCCGCCGTTGGACCAGCCGTTTTCCTTCAAGTGATGTCCGTTCCTCGGGTGGAAGACAGCACGGCACGGCACGGCACGACGGCCACGGAACCAACACTCCGACTGCGCATCGCTTTCTCTATTGACAGCGGGAAGGGGGGCAAACGGACCCTCGTATACACTTCTCTACTCGACGACGGCCATCGTGCATCCTTCTACGTGCCGCACGGATGCAGATCTCGAGCTTTACCGTGCCTCCCGAAGGGATGATGCCCGCACGCCTCTACTTGTCCTTGGGGCAGTACTGGACGACGGCCCACTTGCCATTGATGCGCCAGTTTGCGTCCTGCTTCCTCACCTCGTCCTCCTGGCCCTCGGCGAGTCCGACGCACACGTCGGCCTTGTTGGTGCGCAGCGCCAGCACCTCGATGGTGCCCGCCAAGGGGCCCAGCGCCTCGCGGAACGGCGTCGTGGCGGGCCACAGCGCGTCGCCGGTGAGCTTGCGGTAGTTGAGGTCGCCCTTGAAGATGACGAGGTCCGACTTGGCGCGCAGCTCGGCGTGGAGCGCCGGCGCCACCTCGGCCATGTTGGCGTAGCCCACCGGCTGCGTCCAGAAGCCGTTGGACGCGCCCGTGTCGCTGCCGAGCGGCGTGTCGAGCGGCACGCTCAGCTTGAAGCTGCCCTGCTCGAGGTAGCGCATCCAGCGTCGCACCATGGCCTGCACGGGCGTCTGCGACGACGGCGTCTCGTCCTTGACCGTCGTCGAGCGGCCGCGCGCGTGCCGCTCGTCGTCGCCGCCGTCGCCGTCGCCCGCCACCTCGTCGTGGATCGAGAGCGAGGAAAACAGCGACGAGTCCATGACGTAGCTGCGCGACGGCGAAATCGTCTGCGACCGCGCGTTGCGGAAGTAGGCCGGGTCCATCTGGAACGAGCGCGAGCCCGCCGGCGTGCGCCCGCGCCCGTTGGGGTCGACGCTGCCCTCGCGCGCCTGGAGCGATCGGCTGCCCGCCGGGTGCGGCGAGCGGCCGCGGTCCTCGGAGCCCGCCATCTTGAGCTGCCTCGATCCCGCCGGGTGCGCCGCGACGCCCTCGGCGCCGGCGGCGCTGTTGGGGTTGTACGAGAACTTGGATGCATCCGCCTGGAGGTCGCGCGTCCTCGACATGGAGCGGTGTCGGTCGACGGCGGCGGCGTCGTCCTGCTTGGCAAAGAAACTGGGCTCGAGGAGCGATTCGATCGTGTGGCGGAAGTCGGGCGGCGTCACGTCCGAGACGAACCAGGGCATGTTTTTGGGGTGGAAGACGACCTCGTCGACGTGGGGCGTCGAGAGGAGCCAGTCGGCAAAGATCATGTCCGACACCAGCTCAAAGCCCGAGTTGTCGAGGACAATATCGACGCGGCCGCCGTTGAGCGACGAGATGCGCCTCCACGCCTGGTCGAGGTCGTTGGCGAGGATGAACTTGGCGCGGGCCTCCTGCTGCTCCTTGCCCGTCGTCTGGAGCGCCTGCAGGTCGGCGTACGAGAGCGAGGTGAGGAGCGAGAGGTCGGTCGCGTTGCCCCACAGCGACATCTGCGCCATCTCGTGGAAGAGGATCTGGCAAGGTGGGCGCGGGGTGGAGAGGAGGGGCAAAGGCCATCGAGGGCAAGGCAAGGAAGGGGTCAATTGAGGGCTGGTCGGAGTAGGCAAGCAGGCTTGCCCGGGGCCGCTGGCAGCGTGCTCACCTCGCGACCCTCGGGGGTCGACTCGGGACCCTTTTCGGCGCTGGCGGCCTTGTTGACGAGACCCTCGATGGTGTTGGCGAGGGCCGAGATGGCGGTGCCGCTCGACTTGAAGGTGTGCAGCTTGGACTTGCTGAAGGGGTCGTAGCGCTGCCAGTGCTGGCTGCGGGCGAAAAAGGTGCGGAGGAGGCGGTAGAGGTAGCACTCTGCAAAGAGCCAGGGCGCGGCGAACCAGGTCCAGCCGTTGGTCTGGATGGTCTTGTCAAAGAGGTCGGTGGGCGGGCCGTCGTCGCGCTCGTCGGGGTTGTTTGGGTCGACGTTGATGGGTTCGAGGGGGCGGTCGCGGCTCATGTCGTGCTTGAGCGCGGCGATCTTTTCGATGATTTCCTTTCCCTCTGCGATCTTGGCCGACTGGTCTGTGCGCGAATAGGAGAGGGCATGGTTGGCGGCGTAGATGCTGTCGATGACCTGGGTCAGGATGGCGGGCCAGCGCTTGACGGTCGACTCGTAGGCGAAGCTGGGTGGGGGGGGGGGGGGGGGGGGGCGAAGCGACGAGGGGAGAGCGGGACATGGACAGGGGGTTTGATCAGGAGGGGCTCGGGAGCGGATTTGCAAGCACGAATGCAGATGCACGCACCTGTCCTTGTCCTTGGCCGAGGACGGCGGGACGGGGGGCGACCAAGACATGGCAGGCAGGCGGGCGGACGGATGGCGGTGGTGTCAAGCGATCTAGGTCTATGCAGTTGTGGAGAGGAGAGAGAAGGGATGGGCAGCGGTGGTGGCGGTGGTGGTGTCGGTGATGGTGTAGGACGAGGGATGATGGCGACGACGAGCGGAGAAGAAGCGGACAGAAGGAAAGCAGGGTCAGGCGGGGGGGCTGGCCATGTGCGCGGGCCACGCTCGGTCCAGGCGTGCCGGGTCCCCCCCTAGCCTCGGAGCCGACGAGGGCGAGGCTCGGCGACTTGATCGCTCAACTTGCCCGCCTGGCCAGACGAGGAAGGGGGCAGGCGGGCGATGATGACAGGCAGGCCACAGGCAGGCCAGGCCAGGGCTAGGCTCAACCAGCCGCGGGCCCTTTTCCCCGCATCTGAAGTCGACGCTCGAGGTGGCCGGTGCGCCGCCTTCTTGGCCGCCTGTCGGGCTGGCCGGCTGCCCGACCGACCTGTGACCTTGCGCATCCTCGGCCTCTGCCTCTTTGCCTGCCTGCCTCTCTCGGCGGCCACCTGCTGGCCAGGCCAAGCCGCCGTCCGATGCTCGTTTGCCGCCCTCAATCCGAGCCTCGGGGCCCTTGGCTCATGACTCGCTCCCAAGCCTTGCCTCCTTTAACTCCACCACCCCCCACCCTGCTATCGCCGCTTCGCTCGTAGCATGCCACCGCTCCGACCCTCGTCTTTCGTCGCTCCCACCTCGACCACCAGCCTCCTCTCCCTCTCTCGACGTCTTCCCCTCGTCGCTGCCACCACCGCCGTCGTCACCCACCAACCCATCCTCCACCCTCGCACCTTTGCCACCACCAGACTCGCAAAGATGCCGCAGATGCCACAGGGAATCGTAAAGGGCGGAAAGGAGGACGTAAAGGTGCGCACAAGCGACACCGCAACGGGTTCCCCCTCCTCCTCCTCCTCACTGACGCTGACACGGTCGTCTGTCTTGCTCCTTCTACCCCCCCTCGTCGCCCCGCCTCAGCTCAACAACCAGGCCCTCTTCCAGACAAAGGCCTACATCAACGGAGCCTGGGTCGACGCCGACAACAAGTCCACCCTCAAGGTTTACAGTGCGTCCCCAGGCCCTCTCCTCTTGCGTGCTTGCCACACTCGCTCCCCAAAACGGCTGACCGGACTCTGAACAACCACTCGACCGTCTTCTTCCCACCCTGTCCCCCCTCAGACAAGGCGACGAATGCCGTCGTGGCCGAGGTGCCCGACATGGGCAAGGACGAGACGGCGCGCGCCATCGAGGCGGCGTCCGAGGCCTTCAAGTCGTGGTCCAAGACGACGGCCAAGCACCGCCACGACCTCCTCCTCAAGCTCTACCAGGCGCACCAGGAAAACGCAGAGGACCTCGCCAAGATCATCGTCGCAGAGAACGGCAAGACGCTCGCCGAGGCCAAGGGCGAGATCGCCTACTCCAACTCGTTCCTCGAGTGGTTCGCCGAGGAGGCGACGCGCACCTACGGCCACACGGTGCCCTCGCCGCTGCCGGGCGTGCGCAACATTGTCCAGACCCAGCCCGTCGGCGTCGCCGGCCTCATCACGCCGTGGAACTTCCCCGCCGCCATGATCACGCGCAAGGCCGGGCCGGCGCTGGCGGCCGGCTGCACCGTCGTCATCAAGGCGCCCGCCGAGACGCCGCTGTCGGCGCTCGCCTTTTGCCACCTGGCCGAAAAGGTGGGCTTCCCCAAGGGCGCCATCAACGTCGTCACCTGCGCCAAGGGCGACAACGAGGCGGCCGTGGGCAAGGAGATGTGCGAGAACCCGGCCATCAAGAAGATTTCCTTTACCGGCTCGACGCGCGTCGGCAAGATCCTCATGTCGCAGTCGTCGTCGACGCTCAAGAAGCTGTCGATGGAGCTGGGCGGCAACGCGCCTTTTATCGTGTTCGAGGACGCCGACCTGGACAAGGCCGTCGAGGGCGCGATTGCGTGCAAGTTCCGCGGATCGGGCCAGACGTGCATCTGCGCCAACCGGATCTACGTCCAAGAGGCCGTCAAGGACGAGTTCTGCAAGCGGCTGGCGGCCAAGGTGGACAAGTTTGTCGTGGGCAACGGCATGGACCAGGGCACCACCCACGGCCCCTTGGTGAGCGAGGTGGGCGTCAACAAGGTCGACGAGCACGTCCGGGAGAGCGTCAAGGCGGGCGCCAAGGTGCTCGTGGGCGGCAAGCGGGGCGAGGGCCTGTTTTACGAGCCGACGGTGCTGACCGACGTGCCGGCGGGCGGGCCTACGGACCGCGAGGAGACTTTCGGGCCCTTGGCGGCGGTGTACACGTTCAAGACCGAGGACGAGGTGCTGCGCAAGGCCAACGACGTCAACGTGGGGCTGGCGGGCTACTTTTTCTCGTCGGACGTGGCGCGGTGCTTCCGGGTGGGTGAGGCGCTGCAGGTGGGCATGGTGGGCGTCAACACGGGCCTGATTTCGCAAAATGTGGTGCCCTTTGGCGGCGTCAACGAGAGCGGCTTTGGGCGCGAGGGCGGCAAGACTGGCATCGACGAGTACCTGGTGCAGAAGCTCATGGTCTTTGGCGGTGTCGGCAACTGAGGACCGTGGGTCGCCGACGTGGCGCGACCGAGGTCGGCCGTCTTTGAGCAACTGGGTACATATGTATCTGCGCCCCTGATGCCCTGCAATCGAACCCGTGTATCTCTCTGGATGCCCGGAAAGCTGTCGCGCAAGGCACCGTGGAAACCGCCTCGCCACATGCTTGCCCCTGGTGGGAGCATCTGTCGGTGGCATGCGGTGGGGAGGTCGGAGCGTTGTCGCGTAGGGGTTGTTATCGAGGGCAGCTGAACGGTGGTTGGCCGCTGGGATGCGTTGCGGTTCGACGGGGGACGTGCGCCGGCCCGTCCGTCTCGACGGGGGTCCAATGCTGGCTCGAACGATGCACTGTACCATGACGGCTGCCGACGTTTATGTGGCGGCTGTGCTGTCGATGTGTGTGTGTGTGTGTGAGAGTGGACAGAAGGCAGCGGGATCGCTCGCAGTGTGGTCACGGTGGCGCGGAGAGGCGCGCCCGGTTGCTGGGCGCATAGTTAGGGTCAGGCTTCCGTAGGGTCGAGGATGAGCAGGCAGGCAGGCAGGGGCCCTAGGCCTTTTCCTCTGAGCGTGGATCTGGACATGGCGGCGTCAGGCGGACCGGCCAACAAACACGCACGCACGCACGCACCGGTTAGCGAGCCAAAAGCGCAGCGCGGGCGGGCGCAGGTCAGGCCAGGCCAGGCCAGGCCAGGCCAGGTCCAGACACCGCGACGGCCCCAGCGTCAGCGCAGCCCAGCGCAGCCCCAGCCTGGCCTAACTTGGCCCAGGTCGAGTGCAGAGGCCGACAGCCCAGGGGCCCAGCGCAGGCAGGCTGGCAGGGCAGGCAAGCCTCGCCAGCCAAGGCCAACCCTTCGGCTCCTCGCCGTTGGGTCGTCTTCCCATCCTACCTCTTTACCACCTCCCCCCCCACACTCACCCTCTCCTCGCCTCGCCTCTTGCCTCACGCTCACACACCCCGTCCGCCGCATCCTCCATTCTTCGACTCCGGTCCCTTCCTATCCGCTCGCTGCTGCCTCCCTCGTCGTCGTCGTCGTCGTAGCAACCCCACGTACGCTCCCACCCCCGCAGCTCCTCGCCTTGTCCGAGACGCATAGCTGGCATCCGCTTCAAACGACGCCTTACGACTCGCTCCGCGCCATACACGCACACTCCCTACCCGGCCTCTCGCGCTCCTCGCTGCCCGGCCTCGATCCCTCGCGCCGTTGCATCCCGCTCCTGCTCGCTCTGCATCCAAAGCCCATCCCCAACCCCACTCTCCTTTACCTGCAACGCCCCCGACGCGAGACCGTCAGTCCATTCGAGCCCACACAGCCCACCGCCCAAATCCGTCCACGCAGACACCGCTGCCCACATCGCACGCAGTTAGCGCCATCCGACATCGATCGAAACCCTCGAAAGGTCACGCCTCACACTCAGCCCGCCGCTTAGCTTCGCACCTCGTGCAGCGACGGTCACCGCCCTCTCGGCTTCTCAAGTTCACCCCTAGCGCGCAGCGCAAGCACCTGATCCTCCTCGACGGCGCACGCGCTTACGCACAACTTCGCAACCATGGGTGCCTCGTTTAGCAAGGCCATGGGCAAGATCTTTGGCAACAAGGAGATGCGAATCCTCATGCTCGGCCTCGACGCAGCAGGAAAGACGAGTGCGTTGGCCATTGCCCTCCGGCGGCCTCGTCATCGTCGTCGTCGTCGTCGTCGTCATTGGAAACGCAATTAGGCTGACCTCTCGCCTCCCCTTTGCCCGCTTCCCCCTTTATCCGTCCACGCACCCCACACCAGCGATCCTCTACAAGCTCAAGCTGAACCAGAGCGTCACGACCATCCCCACAGTCGGCTTCAACGTCGAGACGGTGCAGTACAAGAATGTCAAGTTCAACGTTTGGGTGCGTTTCAGGCGTCGTGCCGCGTCACCTGGCCTGCGTTGGCCCAGCTTGGCCTGGCCGGATGGCTGCATCATTTGGTCGCACCGAGACTGTGCTGACGGCCTCATGGTTCCCTTTCCCTACCCTCCTTCTCCTCCCGCCCCCCCCTCGTTTCTCCCCACCCCCTTCGCAGGACGTCGGTGGACAGGACAAGATCCGGCCGCTGTGGAGGCACTACTACACGGGCACCCAGGGCCTCGTCTTTGTCGTCGACTCGCAGGACCGCGACCGCATCGACGAGGCCCGGCAAGAGCTCCACCGCATCATTGGCGACCGCGAGATGCGCGAGTGCCTCCTC